TTTCCTTTCCTTTCCTTTCCTTTCCTTTCCTTTCCTTTCCTTTCCTTCCCTTTCCTTTCTTTTCCCCTTCCCCTTCCCCTTCTCTTTCCCCTTTCCCTTTCCCCTTTCCCTTTCCCCTTTCCCTTTCCCCTTTCCCTTCCCTTCCTTTTCCTTTTCTTTCTTTCTCCTTTTCCACTTCTGTGTCTCCTGCACAGGGTTACAAAGAAGCAGCTTCTTGTCTGACACATTGCCTCAAAGTATCTCTGATAGATTTCATACTTACTCCCTCTACTTTGAAAAAACTTAGTGTTTTTTTGTCTTGTGGAAGACTTTCCTTACATTGAAATTGTCAATATCATCAAGGATATTATATCTGTGGAAAAGGAGGCAGTTGCTGTGGCATTTTCAATTTTATATGGTTTTAATTCTGGGAAATTTTCCTGACTTTTTAAAATTTAGTTCTGTTTTTCAATTGTCTCCTTAAGTTTTGAGTTCTGTGTTACACACAATGGTTGTAAGATATTTTTCATGAAACATTCTATCTCAATTTTTTCCCATTAGATGTAATGTGGTTGTGATATCAGTTTTATTGGAACATTTATGCTGGCACATACTATTGTATGTATGTGTGGCTGTTGATTGTGTCACTATCTTGGAAGAGTTTTTGCTTTTCTTTCTTTACTTGCTCAGCCATAAATTGTAGACATGTTCATAACTTGAACATCTGAAGTATGTTCAGGCTCTCCTTTAAAGTAAGACCTCCATCAGACTGGAGGATATGGATCACATTTAGAACAGTAGGCAGCAGGCATAACTAAACAGCCCTCTTTTCTTTTCTTTTCTTTTCTTTTCTTTTCTTTTCTTTTCTTTTCTCTTCTTTTCTTTTCTTTTCTTTTCCTTTCCTTTCATTTTCCCCTGTGTCCTGACATGGTTCAAAGCCATGATTGCTTTACTGGGGCAGAAAATGTAGAAATATTCAGAAAGCCATAGTGAAAGGCATTAGTTATAAATGAATGGTTTTGATTAGGACACAAGATTGCACATTTGAATTATTGAGGAATTGCTCTGCATCATGAAAGGAATGGAAAATATGGTCAATCTATGGAAATGAAGCTTATGGCAACCAGGACTTTTCTTTCAGAATATGGAGCTTGTTTTATGTACTGCCATAGGTTAAAAGGGAAGTACTCAGTTGTAGTACTTAGGCCGTGAACTGCATGTTGTACTGGGGGAGTAATAAGACAGTTTAAGTACAGTGGCCGCAGAAGAGGCCAATGAGTGTTATTATGTTTGATCATTTTCCTTTATGGTTTCACAGAAATGACAAACTTACTTGTAGGGGAGTGTTCCTGATGACTGAACCTCAGGCTTGATAGTCTTGTTAATAAAGATGATCTCTGTAACCTATTACCATCACTGAAAATGCATTTTGAAAAATCAAAACTAATTCAGTGTAAAACCCAAGACTTAGGATAACAACAGACAGATGTTAATATGCAAGGAGAGTAATTTATTAGTGCAAGACGTTGAAACCTTCACATTGAGCAGTGGCAGTCAGTTTAGTATAAAAACCAAGGGTTACCAGGAAAGTTCATTTGTAACCATGGTTGCAACTCACACTTGAATAAAACTTTCACCTGCAAATAAACAGAAAGCAAGAGAAGAAAGATGAGGTAAGTCAGGCAGTTCCTGGAAAAGAAATGGTAACAAATTAAGAGTCCATGGAGGGCACTGTGGAAAAACAAAAAGAAAAACATAAAGTGTGCTCAGGGAAGCAAAATCAAATAATGCAGATTAATGGAAGCTCTTTCCAAATTTCGGTGACCACAGTGTGAAGGGACTCAACAGCATTGCTCAGGTCCCTAATTCTCTGTGATTAGGAGGGGACAGTGTGGGTCACAGCTCCCCAGGCATAACTTCTTTAGACAATTTAAAATTGTGGCCTCTACTTTTCTCCCAATGGGCTAACCAGGGCAGATCCAGGGCAGACGTAAATATGAAGTATCAGAAATAGGAGGTTCACAGGATCCTGGCAGTGTGAGCAAATTTGGCAAAGAAATGTATCCTAGCCATATTTTTATCTTAAGGAGGTTGTCTCCAGGATCCTTCCTACAATCTGTGGGATTTTCATTTACCAACATCCCTCATAAAATTCAATAGAGAAAACATCCATTCACTGTGCAGATATAAACTTCATCAAACTCCCCAGAAGATTGACAATAGAGTTAGTTACAAAGCCTACTCTTAGTCAGGCAGTGGTGGAGCATGCCTTTAATCCCAGCACTTGGAAGGCAGAGGCAGGTGGATTTCTGAGTTCGAGGCCAGCCTGGTCTACAGAATGAGTTCCAGGACAGCCAGGGCTATACAGAGAAAACCTGTCAAAAAGCAAACAAAAACAAAAACAAAAACAAAAAAAAAAACAAAAACAAAAACAAAAAAACAAAACAAAACAAAACAAAACAAATAACAACAACAAAAACCCCACCTACTTTTGTAGGACCCTATTTGTCCTTGTTAGGATGCTACAAGAGTGTTGTATCTAGGGTAAAACTGTAGAGTGAGGCAACTATCCTGGGCACTGTTTACAAATGAACTCGGATCATTAGTATATTCCTGAACCAACCTATCACTGATGTCCTATAGTTCCCCCCATATATATGTTCCCAGGAGAATGTCACATCAACCTTGTTTGTGGCCTTCTGAAAGTATAAAGCAATATGAACATACCAGTTCTATTCCTATTGAAAATCTGTCTCCATATATTATCTTGTCTACACATCTCTTCACTTTAAGATTTGCTTCAACAGCTTCTGGAGGTGCATTGTATTTCTCAAGTTCCTTCTTCAGTTCTTTCTCACTGTTTAGTAAGAAGCTTATGATTTCACGCTCAACAGCTTGACATGCCTGGCCAGCATTAGCTGGAAAGTATAAGCAGAAAGAGTAAAAGTTTAGTTAATCGAAATAACTTTTTTGTTTTGCTTTGCTTTTTTTCTACACATGGTTTCTCTGTGTAGCACTGGCTGTCCTGGAACTCACTTTTGTAGACCATCCTAACCTTGAGACTCAAATGGATGGAGATCCACTTCCTCTGCCTCCCAAGTGCTGGTGTTAAAGACCTCATAGCTACTTTTTTATTTTTAATTATTTTTTGCCTGAATTTCTCTGACTTGAGACTGTAGACTGGACAAGATATGGAGGATACTGTTCCCCTTGCCTGTTCCTGCACGAAATCCTAAAGATCACACCTCAAGGGACTGAAAGAACATTATTGCTGGTTCCCTCTGTTTCTATATTTTAGCTCACATCAATGACTACCCAATCTTCTACAGCTTCCTTAAATATTCATTTTTAGCATTAATAGTTTCAGGTTTAACTTCATATCCAGTAGCATTTTTAAGAGTCTTGGACAGTTGAAAATAGGAATTTTTGTGTCATCCAAATTGACATGAATATCAGTATTTTATAAGAGATAGGAAAAGTAAAACGTGAGTAGACTCCTTATGTGTAGAGAGGTGACGATTTGAAATTGACAGAATTAGGTCATGGCATCAGGTACAGTTCAAGGTAAAATGGTATATGAGTTGATCAGTTTTGAATCACACCCAAGCACATCTGAGAACCTGGGAAAAGTTTTGCTTTTGCACAGTGATGCTCAGATTCACTTCTAGGGAGGTTGACAGGGCAAATTGACACCTACCTTATGGATTATAAGTACGTATGATGATTGTCCACAAAAGAACGGAAGAAATGTTTTTTCTAATCTAGTTTCCGCATTCCCTTCAAGGCTCTTAAAAATTTTTCTAGCAGTGACCTGCACTGGACTCAGACCCAAATTCCTCATATTTAACCTCATTTAGTTTGGATCATAGGGATGTACCACAAGAGCCAGTTTACCCAAGGACATATAAATATTATATCTATGAGGTGCCTCAACAGTGTCTGAGGTAAGCCTTAAACAGATTCCATCAAACTGTAGGAAAATGTAGTAAGCTACAGGATGAGGAGTAGCTAGGTAGGCAGGCAGGAGGAGATGCAGAAAAGAAGCAGAGAATAATTGCCTGTGAGACTTCATTAATTTTTAAGACACAGAGTATATAGGAATGTTCTGCAAATGGATTGTTTGTGAGAAATTTATTAATGTAAGAAAAACAAGCATCTTACTGGTATTGACTACACCATTTCTATCACCGTTATTGATAGAATCCCAAGAAACTGATCAAACTACACAGGCTTGCTTATATTCAGAGTAGTCTAGTTGAAAAATCTGAAAATTTATTATTCACAGATTCAGAGAACATTGACTGTTAGGAATGGAGAGCTTTTCCAAGTCACTTTCCAATGCAAGAAAGTGAAAAATAATACAGCAAATAGAGTCCCTTTAATAAACATTATTTCCTGAACTTTGTTCTTAATGTCCTTTTTGTTTCCATACCCTTTGCCCCATCAAAGCTTCATAAGCAGGAGAAAATTGGTTAATGTATCTGGAGTTTTTGGGTTTTGGAGAGCAAGTAAAAGAGGTTGGAAGAAATTTTAGAATATTAGTCTTTTCCTAACCCCATCCTTATGTTCAAAGGGGCAAACTTACCAGGAGCTGTGGCTGGATTAATCATAAATAATGCTCACCTTCATAGCAACAAACAACCAGAATAATCAGGATAAGACACAGGCTCAGCTTCATGGTGCTCAGTTTGCTTTAGGCTTAGCAAATGGACTCTACCAGAGCCTGTGAGGACCAGGGATATTTATACATGGTGAGGCTGGCTGGTCTTGCCTCAGGCAAGCTTACAAAGCTTGTAACTATTAACATGGCAACAGTAGACACAGTTTTTAGAAGAGACATTTGTAAATTCCATCAATGTAACATTGAAAAAACAGAAATTAAGTAAATATTCAGTCAACATGCATCAAATTATGTTTCCTTTATAATTTAATGGTTTATTTCATTTCCACGAATGGCTAATTTCTGGCTCTTTTTTTCAGTAGACTATAAAGCAGAAGCAAAGATTCCAATAGGATTCAATTTACCTTATGTTAATTAGATGTTTTGACCTTAAATATACTACCCTTCTTCCTTCCTTCCTTTCTCCCTTCCTTCCTTCCTTCCTTCCTTCCTTCCTTCCTTCCTTCCTTCCTTCCTTC